TGCCGAATGAGTATGTATGTATGTATGTCCTAGTCGACAATGATGACGACGATGAGATGATAATTTCCCGGATGAGAGAGATCGCGCGTGATAAGTCATCGCTAATACCTATCACGACGATCTTGTGATATCGTAACGATTACGAAACTTTGCAGTTACTTCACTTGTTTTTCCCCCGCAGATTTCTCTTTCGTTTTAGTTACATTTTCTCGATAATTTCTATGCAAAGCAATTATTTATATATAAATATTCGTCTAAAAATATTTATGCGTTTCAACTTTGCACATGGAAAAGTAGAATACTTTAGAATAGAAGAGATAATTTCCTGCTGCGTCATTTATAAAAATAGATTTTTTTCGTTTGCTTTCGTAAAAAATAAAAAGAAACAAAGAATTAAATGTATTAAATTAAATCAAGTCGAATATACTGTACTTAATAATTAAAAAATAATTGCATATTTCTAGGTTTGCGAAGGAAAAGGCGATTGTAGAAGAGCCGAAAATTATAGCTAACAATAAGTCGAATTTGCGCTATCTTTCAGCTGAATCTCTACGTAGCCTTCTAAACTTAAACGTCACGATACGCACACTCACGCAAGCATAGACATGGTTATTGAATACATAAAAAAGTGAAAGGAGCCGTGTAGCAATATCTTGTGGACTCCGAAATTATTCTGATGTTATCTAAAACACGAGCTATTTTGTTGTGCAAAAAGGTTTCTTTTTTGTATAATAATAGCTAAAATAATATAGAAAATATATTCTTGCTGTCTGTATAAATTATATTTTATCGCGTTGTTGCTTAAGACTTTTAAGACGCAGGAAAAAGAAGAAAAAAATCAGATTAATCAAATTGTTAGAAATTTTTGAAAAATTAAAGATAAGCCACTCATTAGCAAAATTCGATTAGTAAGCATTGCACTGTTATCAATATGCAAGGTTTCACTTTTATATTTATCTTTTGATAAGCGCATGCATTTGTAAACAATAGCCCGTAAAATTTTAATTATATTGCAGATTATCCATAGTCAGAAATGCAGCGTCAAAAATTGTGCGATAAGAAATTATTTTAGCAACTAAATTTTTAGATAAAAGAATATTTCTCTCGAAATCGATTAAAAATGTTTAAAAAGAAGTAAGCAGTTTCTAACGATTAAAAGAAAAAGCTTTTACCTTTTTTTTTCTACAAGAGAATATATATTATATAAAATCTACAATTTACAGTCATATTATTTTTATCCTTATTATTAAATAAACAGATCTGTGTCACAAATGTTTTAATACTTTATTGAGTGATCGACGAATTGTTTTATAAATTTCACTATAGAAGCATGTCAAGATATAATATCCAAATATTATACTATTTCATGTTACCTTATGAATCTTTTATTACGCCTTTTATGTACGTAAAACGAACAAAAAATATGCACGTGCAATGTCATGGCGATATGCACGCTTTTCTTTATTTACTATTTAAACATCAGAGTGCATATTCAGACAATGGTCAGCGTTACGCAAACGCGTACGGAAGATATCACGCGTCATTATACGAGCGATAAACCCATCTATAGGTAATCGATCTATTCACTCGGAAAGGGAAATTATGCGAGACGAGAAAGACTGTGATTGCCACAAATCAACCTCTTCTTGATGAGAGTATATTAAATTTCAATTAATTTGTAAATATTTTTAATAACATATGCCACATGTATATGTAAGATTGCGTATTAAAGCGCTTATAATCGCAACAGATGAGTCGGCTAAGCGACAAGGTCGCTCAACGATGCAATTATGTGACTATTCGATCGTGTACAGAAAATAAACAAGCATGAGTCGGCAGAGAATGCAAGTTTCTAACATGTCGGCAGCAGTCTATTACATCTAATTGCTGTAATCTTCGCACATAGTTGCAATGACCTTGATCGTCTATTGGACCCAACGGCTAGGAGCCGAATCGATGTCGTGTCTCGATCAGCGGCTGCTGATCGTAATAAGAGAGATATGGAATGTCTTTGAACTTATACAAGTTTCTGGAATCAATACTAGCAATAATATCGATGATATGTAGGCAATATATTATTAATCTAAGAAATGTACATATGTATATATTATTGATCTCGGAGAAAAGTGTATATATATTATTTAGAATAGACATTGATTGCTTAAACTTTGAGTTGCGTGCATAAGAATACGTGTTGTACCAAAATGTGTTGTAGATTCTTTCGAGTGTTATTAAACAATTTATATCTTTTTCAAATTGTATTTGTGTGTAAGATATTTTCGAAATTAATTAGATGTATAGAATATCTACTTGCGTCAATAAAATCATTATTTCTACTTTGAAATGCTTAGAAATGTAAATTTTTCATAAACTTGTTAATGAGACATAAATAATACAGGATGAAGAACAATGGGCGAAGATAGTACATATAGATATAGTGTTAAATAATACAGATACAAAAAACCTGTTTTATATTTGAAAGCGATTTTAATACTTACAATTAGCGAAAATTTATAAATTCTGATATCGTTATAGTATACGCAGTTATAATAAATAAAGATTAAAGATTTAAAAAATTATATTCTACGATATATTTTTATACTGAAATATAAAGTACAACTTATTTCTTTTATATATATATATACACGCGTTTATATACACTTATTTGATATCACGTGTGTGTTATTACCGATAGAAATAAGAATACAATTCTCACAGATCTAAAAATATATATGATATAACATCGCAATATTATGCTCTACAGCTTTCATTATTACTGAAATGTCTGTGTGAATATTGTAAATATTGAAAATTATAGAATTTACTAGATTTTAGTTATTATTTTGATGTTTGAATATTTCAAAAGGTAAATTATATTTTACAAGGCAATATTTATATAATATAGAAAAAATATAAAAATTATTAGAGAAACTTATCAGTTTTCGAATGATGCGAAATAACTTAAATTAAATCTTGAAAAAATAGGATTGCACATTTTACGATATATGATACTTATTTAATGTTTTTTAATCTTATCAATATAGATGATTTTCATCCTGGTTTAATTATATGTTTATATATCGGAGAGATGCGAGAATATTTCTGAGAAAGATGAATCGCTAGATTATTTGCAGAGTATAAAAGAGTATGAATATATATATATAAAAATTAGTGTTTTCAGAACTATATAATAGTATACTATATATGAAGAAAGTTTTAGAGTCTAAAAATTACAGTCTTATAAATATATACTGTTATACATTTTTTTTGCATATGATAACATAGAAATTATAAAAAAATGGTTCACACACTGTTAAAATCAGGAACTTATAATGAATTAGATATATATATTTTAATGTTATTCCAATTATCTACATTGGAATTAGAAAAACAAGATTTTTTTTGTGTTAAGTTTTTTTAATTTTTACACACATAGAAAATTAAATATTGCTGAAATATTTCTGTCAGATTAATTTTAGAAAATTCGTAGAGAGAGATAGGATCATCCATCAAACTTGTGCAAACTTGTACAACTTGTGCAAACCTTACAATTAATTAATTACTATTAATAATTTTGCAATGTAATTCAACGCGAATTTATGGACATTCATACATATATATATATATATATATATATATATATATATATATAATATATACACATACACGTAGGATTTTCGTACACGTGAGTGCACACGTGTCCGCATACACGCGTAGAAGGCGGTCGAGCACGAAGCGGGTAATTAGTGCAATGCGTCCGTGCAGTCTCACGCGGGATTAATTACGTAAGCTCGGATGCGTGTGTGTAATTCCACATTCACAAGCGTCACTGCTGCATACGCTTTCGAATATCGGGCGACTCGAACCCATACTCTCTCACCCATACATGGGGTTCGGTAGACTACGTGAGATCACATGCAGATGTAGATCCGCTCGTCGTTGTATACGCGTCTTCCTAAGACGCACATACTTATTCCTAAGAAAATAAGAAAAGTTTAGATATATATATATTATTTTTTTAAGAATGAAAAATATATACTTTTTCTTTTCCTCTTTTCAATACACACGTTCTCCAATAATCAATTTTTATTACAATAATACCAAATATTATTATAATAAAATTGTAAAATCTTTAACATTTTCCTATTAGATATTACGTGGTAAATGTTAGTTGAAACTGATAAAATTTCATTATTTCAAAATGTATAAAAATTTGTTAAAGGAATGGTTTGATTAACAAATTTTTATTTATCGTAATGCAAACTAAAGTTGGTCAATGATAAATATTAAACTTTATAAATTAATAAGTTTATAGGTGGTGTAATTTAAATTCATAACATTTTTTAATTCTTTATAAATATGTAACTCTTTATAAATGTATACTTCATATACACACATATAACACATGTAAAAGTATTCACATAAATAATTTTAATGTCCTAAAAATCGGAACTTTAAACAAACGTATTTAAAATGTTATGAAATTCGGATAATACTAAGTTAAATATAGGGACTCACCATATTTTCATGTACGATTCACATTACTATGTAATGGGACAAATTTACTTTGAAATTGTATAAAATAAAAGTTTATTTAACATCTGAATCCATGTAGCATTAGCTATGCTTGATTAGATCGTCTGCTTCGACGAGAAGAACTGGAAAATAACGGACGTGGTTTATACAAGTCATCACTTGAATATCGTTGACTGCTCCTATTGCGGCTGTAATTTCAAGGAACAATAACGTTAGATTAACTATAACTCTCCTCTTAAGTAGTATTCGAGAAAATATTTATTTAACATGATACAATATTCAATATGTGCGTTTAGAGAATAAAGTACAGAGCATATAGTTTACAGCAACGAAGAAAAAGAGCGCAAAAAAATATATACAAAATTTCGTGCTATATAAAAACCTCGAGAACATATAACACGTACCTTTTTTCTTCTTTGATTACATTAGACGACGCTGTTTTTTCGCTCGTCGCGGACACATCGCTATCCGGGCTCAGAGGCATAACGAAATTCTCGCCATTTGACACTCCCTGCGGATTACATAAATTCGAGAATCTCGGTTTTTTGTTGAATCTCCTTCTTTTGACGTTGTGCACAGTATCTTCATTGAGCGACAATGTCCGTTTATGATCGTCATTATTATTATCCGAATTATTTACCAATATGTCCGATAAGGGGCTGGACGAACGTTTGCGCGATTTCGGCAATGGAGGTGCCGCCATAGATTTTGGTATCGAGAAAACCACCTTGCCGCCCAGACTCTCTATTATATCTTCTAGGGACGAATTCTCTAACAGCTCTAGAGATTCTAAGAAACTGGAGAATCTTTCCGATTTCTTATTGTCAGTCTTGAAGTAATAGCAATCTTCTCCATTATCCTCGCTGATAACGGAGGACGAGGATCTGGTTTCCAGACAATCGCTATGTAAATCTACCCTGTCAATTTTCGATGACGCACACATTTCTATCTGCTTCTCACCCTGTGGCTCTTCCTTGTTGTCTCCTATATCTGTCCGATTGTCAATTTGCGCTTCATTATCGTTCCGCGTTTCCGTTTCGTTATAATCCCGTACTTCCGCATTCTCCTCTATCGATTGTTCCGTACTTTTTTCGTTATTATCCACAGATTCAGATTTTACCGAAACTGTAATTTCTATCTGCTTCTGTAAAACATGTGTTTTCTCTATTTGCGACGAACATTTTTCTGCATCGATATTTAGTATTTTGTTGTTAGTGTCTTTCGCAACATTGTTATGTCCCTTTTTAGATGCTTCCGTATCTTCTACATGCGAGTCATCAGATTGCGTGATTTTCTCGTCAGTTTTTGAATTTTGTGTGATCGCTTCTCCTGATATATCCGATACTATCTCACTTAAAGATTGTTTTATGCACAACTCCATATTGGATAACGTTGACTTGGATTGTATATTTAAAAAATCATTTGTACAAGATTCGGCTCCTAACATTATTATCGATCTTTCGTCCAATGTTAAATGAGTTTCTTGCTTTTCGGGATAAGGTTCCTCATATTCTTCGTCGGGAATTTCTATAATCTGAACACGCTCATCGTCCGGCAAGCCTTCGAGATTGTCAGCATCTTTTATTGTACTCGATTGACTTGTTTGTTCCGTTTCATGTGTAACTCTTTTCTCTCCTTTCTTATCCTCCTTAAGTTTCTCCTTTTCCATCAGTTTCCTGATTTTCATTAGTTTTTTAGCTTCGTGTATATTTTTCGCGAATTTTGGCTTTCTGATTTTCACATCGTCAGAGGTCGATTCATCCTCTTTACTGGATAACGATCTTTTTTTCAAAGGTAAACTTGTGTCATGCAAAACTGCTTCTTCTTCGTGCTTGTCATACGTTTCGTCTACATTATCAAGTTCTATCTTCAAATAATTCTTATCATTTGTCAAATTGTGAGACGATTTACAATTTGGTTGATGTGAGTCATTCATTTGTGTTTCTTCGATACTATCTGATGTTTCGCTACCAGAATTGCTAATGTGATTATTCTCCTTTGTCAAACTCGACGTACCTGATTTGTTGCTCGTCATGTTGGAATTCGCGTTGTTAGACGGCGAGGTCTTGCTATTTGAGCCGTTCGAACCATCTCTGTCAGTGGAACGCCGATCATTAGAGCTTTTCCGTAAGCTTGAATGATCGTCCTTCGTCTTTGATTTCTTATCCTCTCGACGTTTTTTATCCTTTGATGGGCTATCATTTTTCGAATCTCTCTTACCATCTGATTTCTCATTGCGATCCGAACTTTTGCTCTGTTGCAAATAAATTTTTGCATCCTTCTTACAATTTGTTGTCTTCTCACCGCTTGCTTTGCCATCCTTTCTTATATCCACTTTTCCACTTTTATCTTCCTTCTCATTTTTCGAAACTTTTTTTGAATCAGGCTTGTCTGACAGATCTGTCTTGCTACTGTAATGACTTTTACTTTTATTATCTCTCGACAATCGTTTTTCATCCCGTTTTGCTTTATCTTTCGAGTCTGATCTTTTATCTTTCCCATCTACAACCTTTTCTGACATCTTGCTGCTTCTACTTTCGTGATAATTTACGGGGATATTTTTCGACGATGACGACGATGATGAGCTTCTGTGCTCTTTTCTATTTGATTTTTTGTCTTTAAAAGAATCCTTTTTGTCTTTAGCTTCTTTAGTAAGTTTAACATCTTTGTCTTTATTTAATTTTTCTTTCTCTGTCAATTCCTTCTTCTCTCGAAGCTCTCTGATCTTCTCTTTGTAGATATCTTTCAAGTCTTTTGCTTCCTTATTGATATTATCTTTATCTTTCTTGTCCGTTTCCTTGAGCTTCTCATCTTTGAGTTTGTTTGTGTTATCTTTAAAAGTTTCTGAGATATCTTTAGCTTTGTCTGAATTCTCTCTCACCTGATCAATTTTATCTTTAGATTTACTCTTACTATGTTTATCATATTTCTCACTGCTATGACTACGCGATTTCTTTCTCTCATTACTTCTATCTTTGTAATATTTTGTATCTTTATTGCTAATCTTTTCTTTCGTGTTTTTTGACTTGATGGATTCACTATCTTTACTCTTTTCCTTGGAACTCTTATCATATTTATCTTTCATACCACTATCTGTAGCATCGCGAGAGTTTTCTTTGGAAGATATACTTTTAGTGCTCTTAAAATCTTTCGAATCTTTATAATCTTGGGCATCTTTATTTTTAACAAAATCAAAATTGCTTTTGGCTGTTTTGCTTTTCGAATCAAACTCTCTGATAGCTTTAAAATTATCTTTACTACTTTTAACTTCATACTTGTCCTTTGTTACATCATCTTTCAATGCATCGTGTACTGGTGTTAAACCATGATTAGAAAAACCAAAGTCTGTTACTATTGATAATCGAGAATCTGAGGAAACTTTGCTAAGTTGAGAATCTTGATTGCTACAATCAAAATTATCCCGCGATAATTCATTCGAAAAATCTGGACTTCTTGATCTGTGACTCGTTAATTCTGATATTCCCGATAGGTGTGAATCATTAGAAATGTTGGATTCATTCAAGTTCATAATGTCTATTGGTTCAAATGTTGGACTAACCTCTTCGTCTTCATCTTCTATTTTGTCATCTGATTTTCCAGATGTGTTTAAATTTAAGCTACTACCAGTTTTATTCAGAGCTTTACAAGCTTCGTCCAGTGTTTTCTCTTCTGAGGAGATGTGTCCATTTTCAGGACTAGCTTTATTTTTATCTCTGTATAGCTCTTCGTCTTGTAACTTTTGTTCATTGGCTTTGTCAACCTGCTTCTCATCATCATTTATATCGCTTGCATCTATTGATTCAAGGGATACATCCTTCAAACTGTTCTTATCAGACTCTGGCGAGACTGGATCCAAATCTTTAGGTAATAAATCTTTAAGACCACAAGCACCATTTTTCTCTTTAACCTTTGGTCTTTCTATACCCAGAAATTTGTATACCACATCTTCTATTTGTGACATGAAAACTGAGTAGACTTTGGGATTTACTACTTGATCCACTATCCGTTCTACGCCAGCGTCCAGATATGGCGCATCGTGTATATGCTTGCGTAAAGTTTCCCTGAGTTGATTCTTGTTCAAGTCTGGTTTCCATATTTGTTTAGTAAGAAAAGAGTTTACAGAGCCTTCAACTCTTGTCCTTAGATTTTGATACGCTGGCTGAAATTACATATACCATATTGTATATTACTTATGCCGCAGTTTCTATAACTGTATTACAATATCTACTCTAAAATTAGTACATAGTATTAAGCTTGTAAAAACTAATGTTTTGTCAGAAACGATACATTAATGATTCAACATTAAAGATTTGTTACAAATAATACAAAATATTACACGGCATGAATATTCTTCACTTGATAGTAAAATATTTCTTGATAATTAAAACCTATTACATTTGCAGCCATGTCTAACGTTTCAATATTAAATTACGTCTAACCTGCATCGAAGAAGTTAGATAAATGAGTCAAATTCGTTACAAAACACGTCGTTACATCAAGGATTGCTTTACCTTTGTATCAACATCAGCGATGCATTCTTTGCGAAACTGATCAAAGATGCCTTGGGACTTAACTTCGCCCACTATATGATCGATCAATCGCGGGTCACCGGCTAGCAAAGTATTGGATAAACTTAATTCCATGTCGACTAATGATGACCGACCAGAATCAGATTTCGTTCGTCACAAAATAGCAGAGGCAACCATTTTTATCGATCAACGCTGGCAGGAACATCTCGTCAAGCAACAGACACAGCATCCATCACGGCCATGTTTTTTCACATCCCTTCACATTGCTTCACATTGTGCGCGCATGCGCGATAGTATTCCGACCGAGACTCCCTTTCTCGCGCATGCGCGATATATGCGGCAATATGGAATGCGTTCGGAAATCCTACCTGTGGAATAAAGTAAAAGTAAGATGTTTGTTCATCTTGCTCGCACTCGCTTGTTTAGGGCCTCGTTACTTTTGTCGAACGTTTTAATTGGCCAATATTATAGGAAACTATCGAAACTCTAAAAATTCTCTCTATCTGATAGCCAATCGGTGCGTTCGACAAACTAGTCATGCGACAAATGTACTATCGCCTTTAAGGTGCCATTACATGGCAGCGTTAAAGTGCCATTACATGGCAGCGTTAAGCGTCGAGCGTCTGCGTAGAAAATTGCGCAGAATCTAATTTCAGCCTAGAATCTATCTCTTTTAAATTCTGCGCATTTTTCTGCGCAGACGCTCGACGCTTAAGAATCTATCTCTTTTAAATTCTGCGCATCTTTCTGCGCAGACGCTCGACGCTTGACGCTGCCATGTAAAGGCACCTTAAAGGTACCTTTACGATGCGAGAACTGCGCACATTCAATGGCGGTAAAAAAAAAGTATAAAAACGTGTTGTACAAAGCACGCGCGAATCTTCAGTGAACAGGAATACAATATTTAGAGGTAAATATATTTTTATATTAACAGAAAGAGATATGTCTCCATGTGCTTAATATTTTTTCATTGAGATATTGTGTCAAATCTTTCTAGAAGAAAAAGGGAACGCGAGAGAAACGAATCCAGTCTGAAATCATCTTAAATTTCTCGTAATATGCTGGTTCGAATGCGACACGTGTAATGACCTTCGTGAGTTCAGTGATGGATTGCGCGATGGTGTAATTTATAAAAAATTGTTTGCCAAAATCGAACCGCAAGACGAGAAAGAACTGTTTGAGCATTCGGAAAGGTGAGTTATTGTGTCACATTTAATCACATTTAACCGCGTTGTAAGGTTATGCCGCGATTTTACGTAGCTTCCCTCAAGATGCTCATGTATTTATGTTATGTTATGATTATTGTTTTCTTGATTATTTTTGTTTATCGCATTTATAGTTTTATATTTTACTATAATATGTTTTATGTTTTAATGACAATTCAATCTAAGAGACACAATATTATGAAGGAAATGAGATTTGGCAGCTAGTTTTTGTTTTGTAAAAAGATATTTGAGATCAGCGTGAGCACTACAGTATATGAGAATTCATAAATTATTTTCTATTGTCAAAGATAGTATAGGGCATATACTAATATATTGATAATATTATTGAAATAAACAAGGGCTTTCTCAACATGCTAGTTTTAACTACATATATATATTAATATAATGGCTAAATATATTCAAATATTTGAGAGATAGAATGTCTAGAATTACTATCATTACTCAGAATTGTATTTACAAATAAACATACCATTGGAGAATATTGTGGAGAGTTATTCTCAAATGGACATCTTAACAAGAAAAGTATTTAGTCATGTATATCCTTTATACATATACATATATGTAAACGTCAATATTCTTAAAGATAGTATATATTGACATTTATTTAACGATTTAATGAATTCGCACAAAACACAGATATAGCTGTCTTCCTCGACAGCCAGTCAGTCTACGACGATTTTAATGCACATTTGCAAATTGACGTACAATACGGACCGTAATAAAAGGCCTAATGGCTTTCAATAGGATTAATTTATAACTCGCGGTACAGAACCCCGGTCACCGAGTATCAGATCGCCACTATTTTCACTAGTAAATCATTCCATGCGAAAATGATCATTTTTTCGAACATTAAAAATAATCTATTCGAGATTTTGATCACTTTGAAATATGAAATCATTAAGAGATTCTAAGATTAATTTGTATAGAGCGCTTTGCAAATTTTGTAATATTTTCAGAGATATACACTGTTAAATATTCTTTTTGGCTTTTTTCGAAAATATTGTGATTTTGCAAAAGCACTCGGTATAAACTAGTCTATTTAGTCTCGGTAAATCAGTTTCGGTATAAACTAGACCTAAAATTTTTTGAGCTGTAATATATTTTAAGACGATTGAAATCCCGAGAAGTCATTTTTTAATACTTTGAAAAGTGATAATTTTCATATGGAATGGCTCTGATTTTTAAAATTTTAACTTGAGATAATGTCTAGAGAACTGTTTAAATAATACATGACAATCGAAACAGAATATATTTTAATTGCACTTCTTATTAAATCGATTTAATAGAGCGTAGTAATTTGTAATCTTAACCTTCGATCTTAATTGATAAGAAATTTTATTTTACTACTGAAAAATATATATGTCTGAGGAAACCTCTTTGTGTATGTGTGTGTGGTGATAGATATTTATTTGAGGAAAGCATACAAAAATTGAACTTTAAAATATATGAAGCGTAACCGCAACATATTCCCTTTTTATATTTCTGTGTTTGCATTTTCGCGATAATAAACGGCATTATCGATAAGAATGATTAGGAATAATTAAAAGCGTATTTCTGGCGAATGTTCGTGTTCTTTGATTGGTTGTGTCCGAGTAACGCGATGCTATCTCAATTAAATAACATAAAACATGTCCGCTAAATATATCAAGCTTAAATACGTCAAGCGTGTTATCGTCATTGTTTATTTTTGATACGAACATTTTATTTTATCTAAATGAAAAATGACTATATTAATGAATTACAAAAAATATTGAATTTAATGCAAGCGAATAGTATTTTAATACTGTCGCGTATATAATCCATCTTTTTCGTCGGTTGTGTTGCATTTTAAACCGCGAATGCAGCTGGATGCAGTCGTTGTCCGGCATTCATGGAGATCTCGCCGTCTCACCGATCTCAGTCGAAACAAACGTACATACATATCGCGACGCGTACTTTGAACATCGTCCATTATCGTTTGCGTTAAAAATTAATTGGGTAAGTGACGACCCGGCTGATTAGCCGCTTGTACGTCGGAATTCGGATCATTCGTCGAAAGACTGGTTTAAAATTAATTTTAAATGATGAATTTCATCAAAGCTTACCTGTTGTGTGAACAAAGATTATGCGTTCATCGAAATTTCGACAATTTTGCATGGAAATCTTTCACTCTTTACCCATTCCATTTTCAAAGAAAAAAATTATGCAATTACTCTTCGTAATTCGGATATTTTTGTTGAAATTTGATTGTATTCTGATGATCAATTTTTTATCAACGACCGCCAAAGTTTCTCGATGAATCTCTCGCCTTTAATACGTTTTTAATATTTACCATTCCGATGTTTTTTTTTTTTTTTCATAAGTGCATTGCGCGAATAACGTTAATTCGATTTTAAGTTTTATTCAAATGTTTGAAATTAATCGCGAACGTGAAAGTCGTGGGTTTTCTTGGGATTGCCTTTGGAACCAACGAACAGAGAAAGTCTTACCAATCGAAGCACATCTCCTTTCCACAATTCCTTCGAAACTGTTGTGAAGGAGAAAATCAACCGCGAGATATATATACCGAGATGAAATACGCAGCGAATACGCACATAGATAATAAAGGCAAATGTAGAAATCAAGAATGCGAAAGTGTAGAACGGAGAATAATCCGATTTTAATTTTTTAAATTTCTTGCAGTAATATTGAATTAAAAAGCCAAAAATCATATAAAAATTTCTTTTTGCGTAAAGTAATTTTTTGTTTGGTATTTCTCGAAAGAAAAATTCACGGTTTCTTGCTTCCGATATTATAATTTGATTGCAATGAAAAAACAGGAGTAATTAATTAATTGAGCTTTTTAATGAAATACTTTGCGTCAAACGTGTTTTTATAAATAGCATTATTCGCATTATATAAGTTAAATTTTTCTTTTAAGAATAATTTATAGCGATTAAGAAGCCTTGAAAAGAATTTGCAGCTGTTTAATAATAAGTAATATAATCGTAATGATAAAGAAAGAATAATTATTTTGGATATCCGTTTTCGTAATATGATGTATTAGAATCTTGCATCTTGTCTTTAGAATGTGTAACATGTTAAAATTATTTATTGTTGAGTCTTTTTTAAGAGCATAACTTCATTCGAATTCATATGCGCAATACATTCCTATTTTGCAATTTCCAAGGGCGTCTATGTACTGAGACCGCATCAGCAAAGTGTTGAGGAGTGACACTGTATTTTTTTTTGACCACACGATGACAATTCTTATTGCTTGGCGACAGTAATCAATTCTGAACTATTTCTTCGCCAGAAAAACAAATAAAAGATATAGAGCGCATTTTGTTTATTTCTACGCTCGCGCGATTTTCGATAAAAATGATAAAGCCGAAAACAAGATAACAGAAAATAATAATAATTAAACTTTTTTTATATTACGTATATTCATCCACCGAAATTTCTCGTCTCTTTTATTGTGCATCATCATAGGAATTTATTAATATAATACTGGCAATAGGGATCTAGTAAATCTTAACGTTAGTTAAAAAAATTAGTTATAACATTCAGTTGAAAGGAAGAAAGAATTTTTTTAATTGGCTGCACAATTTTCGATAAAAGATACTTTATCAAAGTAATTAATTTTTATTTAAATTAGTTATTTTTATTATAATATGATCTTATTTGATACTAATTTGCTTGCGTAACAAAATTATTCATTACCGTGTCCGCGAAACTAATATAATCGTTAGTTTTTAATGATCTCTTAAAATACTGAACAATCGTGAATACGCTAGTTACGCCTTCGTCATTAGAAGCTTGCGGCGATAAAGAAACATATATTGTGCATCTCTTACGTTTACATTTAAAATCATTTTTCTGAAAATTATGCAAGCATTTAAACAAATATACTCTATATCTTCTAGTTGATTTTCTCAACATCTTCTCTCGCTGTTAATATAATTTACTGGATGTCCCGTAAACTTAATAAATCTCCGCGTCTCTTATCAGCTTCTTTAAATAGGACATAATATTCTGCAACTGCATCAACGTTATTGCACGCTACTTGTGCTCCTTAGAAAAATAAGAATTTTTCAGAGTAACTGTC